TTTTTTTTTTTTTTTTTTTTTTTTTTTTTCTTGCACAGTTTATATCCATCGCGGAAATATTTCAGGTCGTTCAACGAAACACGACTCAGCGCGATTCAATTAATTAAAAACGAGTCCACCGACTGGTTTCGGAGAAGTCGGAAAGGTGTCGTCGTCGTCGTTGCTGTTGTTGTTCGTCTAGGGAATAATTTTCTAGTCTTCGCAGGGTAAACACAAGTGGACTCTTGCGCCTTCGAATCCGCGTCACGATGAATTCGTTCCTGAACGTTCCTGTAATTTTAACGCCCCGTCATATTTCATCGTCGCATCTCGCTGTTACGCCGCGTTGTCCAGCCTCGACGATATTTCTTTTCCTTCTCTCTCTGTCTCTCTCTCTCTGTCTCTCTCTGTCCGTTCCTCGACGTTAGCGATTTTTCTCGGTGAAACTTGCCGCTCCTGTTGCGCGTCTCCACGGGGATCGAAGGGTAAGGTTGGTATTCTGGTAAAGTCGAGGCTGTTACAGCCTTTTAATGAGAAGAATCGTTTATGGAGTGTGGAAGATGGAGGGCACGCATGCGATAGCTATTCGTTACGCGGGTACAACAACTTTTTCCCCCTTTTTTGATTCTCTCCAAGATTCGTAAAAACGTCGATGAAAAAAATTTTTATCGAAAAGTGGAAATAAATTTTTTACGCAGTTAAAAAACTTCTTCTCGAATAACAATTATTCTCCATATATTCTAAATAAAATTCCTTCAATTCACGCGTTAATAACGTGGAAAATACGATCAGCACGAATTTCCTCGATCCATTTTTTGAGAAACGGAGTTCAGTCTCTTTCGATTTTCTCGAAGATCCATGATGAAAAATTTTTATCGAAAAATCAAACTCAAAGCTTTGTAAATGATGGAAAATGGATACGCAATCGATATTCTAAATAAAATTCTTCGATTCATACGTTAATAGCTATAACTATTAAATTGAAAAATACGATCAGCACGAGTTTTCCTCGATCGATTTTTTTTTTTTTTTAGGGGGAGGGAGAAACAGAATCAAGTTTCAACTCGAGGGAATTAGCTCGTTTACATTTCTGATACGTTTACAACGGTGTTAACAACGAAGAAAGGAGAGATGCGACGGACTGTGCGGAGCGGTCGAGCGGCATTCCTTCCTGGAAGGGACAATCGTTGGGGGAGGGGGAGGGGGACACGCGTTTTGAATAATTTCCTAGTTTGCAGGGTGAGCACGATCAACGCGGTGGTCTATTGTCTTGCCAACCACT